CTCCCTCTTCCTGAGACAATGCTAGCCCAGTGCTCCTCTTTCTATGCTTCCTCCTTCTCATTGGCTGTTATCCTGTTCTTCACATATGTCAATAGGCTACCTCAGGCTGCTGTCACCTCTGTCAAGTCTGTCACATATACTCAGGTCCTAGACTGCTTCTGTTGTTGTAAGATGACTTTAGCTGTCTTTGATTGGATCATTTATATATTGATTCCATGGTACAATTCTATGAAGGCAACTTTATTTCCCTTCACTTTCAAGTTCCTAGTAGACAGCTCACTATACCTCCTATTAAAACAGTGGTGCCAAGGACCAGGGCTGGAAGGACATTGGAAATAATTCTCCAGATTATGAATGCGGCTGCAGAATGTTTTCTTTCTCATCACCCACCCACCCACCAACTTCAACTGGGTTTTTTGGAGCTCTAGCTCCTGATGGCTGTAGCCTGGATTCTTCTGAAGACCTAGTCATCTACTTGATGGGCTTTTTCTCAAGCCATCTGTCACAACAGGGGCAATATTTCCTCTCAGTTTGAGGCATACCAAATCTGTGTCCCTTCTGATTTCCTCCATGAAAAGCTGCTGACTTTGCTTTGATTCTCAGAAGGAGTTATGGCTTTTAGCACTGCATCAATCTGCTTCAGAAGATTAGGATGTTTATTTTTGAGATCGCCATCACATTGCCTAACTGGGCCCCCTTTAGCCATTTACTTGGTGGGAGAGTTAGTAAAATAGCAAGAAGTAGGAGAAAGAGAAGAAAACAATTATATAATTCTGCTAAGTTCTCATCTTCTTAATTGCAGCAGAATTCCTTCGAAACAAACATTAAAATAAATATAGGAGTGGGGAGGGCCAGTGGAGAAGGAACTAACTGAAAGAGCATTTACACTGAACACCGGCTCATTCTTTTAGCACAGGAAGCCCTTTGGTTATTCAACATGTGTGTGTGTCTCTGATTGAAGTACCATTTCTCTTCTAGAAGAAGCAGTAGTATTAAACTCATGTGCCATGTACTACAGAACCTTCTGGTGAAGTTCATGCATACCTGGGCTTTATTTCCTCTGTGCAAGTTGAGCAGTGTCTCAGCAAACAAGAACTAGGAATTACCTCTTCCAATGTTGAATAGAAAGGTGTTGACTTGGACAAGCCTCTTGCTTCTGTTCGTGCCTTCAGTTTCCTCTTTTGCAAAGTGCAGGGCTTGATAAGATTATTGCTTAACTCCCTTTCTGCTCTTCATTTTTAAATGACTCTTTCTGAATTAGCTTATCTGGTATCCTGCTTCCTTTCTGTCTACCTATATCATCTCTTTATCTTTCATGAGTATTTTTGAGGTTGTTTCAGAGAAGGATTTCACCTAAGAAGCTTAAATTTCAGGATTCCCCCCTAGGATCCTTCTAAACTTTAAAAAAAAAAAATTAATGTCATATTTAATTTTATATTTTAAAGTTAATATTCTTTTCTCAAAGAGAGCTCCCAGATTTGGATATGCTTTAGACCCCACAACATCTGTATTTGCCTCCAGGGTGGCTTAGGGAAAAAGACGAATACAAATAAGAATATCCAAATAAGAGTTTAAAAAGAAGATGTGAGAGAAGGAATAGAAGGTAAATAAGCCAAATAGGAAGTAAGTTTACCCAGTTGAGCTCCAAGTTGTGTTTTTTAGTCTCTTGACTTCCTGGAAGGCAAAGTTGTGAGGGGCATCTGTACATTGTATAACTGTTATTGGAGTGGAGGAAATGTTCAGAGGGAACAAACATATCCACGCATACTGAACTCTGAGAAATGTTTCAGTGAAACATTTTATATGGGACAAGATCATACCATGGCCAAAAGTATTTTCACTAGGATAGAAAATTCTTGGTTACCAGTGATAAAGTTTTGCTCAAATACACTCGGGCAGCTCTTCTGTATCAGGCATTGTCCCAGGAAGATACTAGAAATACAGAAAAGAACGAGACATGGTGATTGCCCCTCAGACCTCTCAGGCAAACACAAACAATTATAAATGTAAGTTGGTAAGTTTCTCAGGGAGGCCTACCCAAGGAGGTATGCGATCACAGGGAGTGACTAATTCACATCCAGGAGATGAAGAGGAAGGGAAGAGATAACCTCCAAGCTCAGTTTTAAAGGTAAAAATATTGTTTACATAATGCTTGTCACTTCACAGGGAATGTTAACAAAAACAAACCTGCCAACGTGTGTCTAGAGTTTCCCTGAGCCTAATCTGACTTTCATTACCGTGGTTTATAGGCACTGTCTCTGTTGTCAGATGGAATGTAATTCCATCTGACAACAGAGACAGATGCATGTTGTCAGAGGGATGCATCAATACATTCATTGATGCATCCCTCCAAGACCCCCAAAGGAACCCACCTTTCATGAAATGAATTGTAGCCTTCTTGTCTTATTCCTTAGGCATCTGGCAGACATCTTGTGGCTTGTTTGTAGCCTTTTTAAGGCATGCAGTGGGCTTATTAAATTCTTTAGTTGTCTATAGGGAACAAAAAGCAAGGTGTTTGACCATTTGGGGAAAAAAGTAACATTTGAAAATATACTAATGGGCATCCCTTGGTGTTCAGTTATTTGCTTCTTCAAAAATCTTTATCCCAATGAAAAGTTTAAAAGTCGTTTCCAAGCAATTCCCATTTTGCAGCAATGGCTAGAAAGGAACTCACCTGGCAAAATGAAAAAAATTTTGCAGCAATGGCTAGAAAAAACTCACCTGAGCCACAAAATGAGGAAGAGGATGAATTTCCAGCATCCAAAATGTTAGGGAATAGAAAACATCTTCATGAGGAAAATAAGATCTCATAATGGCCTCGCCTCAAGAGGCTTGTTGAGCTGCAGTGAACCCTGCTCCCCGCGCTGGCATCCCCAAAGGAAGGAAACATTTAGGCATCTTCCTTGAGCATTCTGCGGCAGCAAGTACCGCATCAGACAGTCTTGCGGGCCGGCTCGCCATTGCATCTGGCCAAGCAGCCTGGAACTTCACCTTGCATTATGCATGGCCCTCTAACTCCGGTTAAATTTGAAAACGCCCGGAAGTCTCTTCCTGCCACCCTAACTCCCATTCTCTTTGACGGATTACAAAAGGCAAGCGGTTCCAATGCAGCAGGATTTGCAATCACGGGGAACTTTGGAGCTTCTGCAGTTGATACTAAAATTGTGATGCTGCCATCATACCTCACTCAACAGGGGATTTAGAAAGAAAAAAAAAAAAAAAATTCAGTACCAAGTCACTGTCAAGCTATATCGAAGACAGTCTGCTGAAGTGTGGGGTCAGGAATTCAGCAGCCCTTTGAGGAGATTGCATTCAGCTTGAAATTCCGCTCAGAGAACAAGAGTTAAAACAGATTTCCAGTGTGGGTGGGAGAGTGATCAGTAATTAAGCTGAATGACCCTAAACTCAGTGCATTTAAAATCAAGAGATTTTAAATGTACTTTATAGCTAAAGATAAAATTTTATTCCTCTCAAGTTTGTTTGTTTGTTTGTTTTTTCACATCATAGTAATCTTTAATTCCTCCTTCTCCCCTCCCTATGAAGAAATAAGACAAGATCTTTTAGGTTTAAAGACTACACGGCTCGAAATTTCTGAGTGAGGTACAGTGATTTAACCCATTATGTTAAATGTTAAATGTTAAAACAAGCAGAGGGCAGTTGTTCAAAGATAAACACAAAAATAGAAGTTTAATGATTCCTAGTTTACCACCTGTTAGGACTACACTCCAATGATGTGGAGAAAAGGCTGCACAGCTCATTAACAGGTATCACTTATTGGCTACATACCATGTGTCAGACATTTTTATGGATTATTTCATTCAGTCCTCACAGCAGCCCTGTGCAGTTGATATTATTAACCCTTTTCTGGTGGTGAAGAAACAGGCCTAGAGAGGCTGGGAACTTGCCTGAAATCACCTAGCTGATCCGTTGCCAAGCAGTACTCTCACTCGCTTCTGCCTGAGTCCCATCCTCTGCTCCCATCCGCACCACGACCCAAATTTAGTGGAGGAGATGTAAATCTCCAAGTCTCCCTCAGTCATATCTATCATAGTGTTGCTTGGTTGGTGGGCCGACTGTATCAATAAAAGTACTCCGTAGCAAGGACAGGTAGAGTACACACTGCCCGCCAAGTAACACTTTGAGTACTTTACATACATCTATTTGTGTATCCTTGCAACAACCCTAAGAGGTAGAAAACCAAGAATAAGCAGCTTGCCCAAGGTCACGCGGTCAGTGAGGGTAAGAGCAAAGCTTCAAACCCAGACAGCTGCTTCCCTGGCCCCTGCTCTTGGCCGGGAGTTTTCAGGGGACAGACTAAATTCCTATCCACGTTTGTACCAAGCCCACTGCATTCTGAAATGGTCCCACCACCTTCACACAACCTGTAAGTTGAAGTAGAACCTGGGAGAATGGCTGAAGTCCATGATCAATATGAACAACCTAATGTATCCTTGAATTATTCTTCTCTATTAAGTTTCTATTACAGAGCTTAATCCACATATCTGACATGTAAAAGAGGACTAAAAATGACGGTTCTGTGAAATGAATCAAATAAAAGGCCAAATGACTTTCAGCAGCTAACATATGCATCTCATAACACATCTAAAGAGATCTGGTGCCTACGTGGGTATATGTGTACAGGTCCACATGGTGTATATTTGGCACTCTGTGCCCAGAACATAAGCCTAGCTTAAAATCTGTTTTGAACCACGTACATGTTCATTAACCTTACAGGCAGGCACAAAATGTTTGATGTCATGAAGCTTGTCTTGAACCAGCTGTTGAAGTTGAGTATTAATTTTCCAACCCTGCTAAGTTCAGGAGTTCTAGAACGAAAGCAAAATGGTTTGGATGGATGAATAGATATCTTGCTTTTTCATGCATATTTCCTGATGATCTGAATGCTATTAAGTGTTAAGTTTCTGAGATGTTTATATTAAGTTAACAATGACATGTATTAATAGCTAACCATTTTTCTTTATTGTTTTCTCTCTCTCCAGGTATCCCCAGTATTTCCAGTATTGGTAGTAAGTAAAAAAAAAAAAAAAAAAAAGTCACCAAACCAAGTCTAGGCTAGCTTTGTTTTCTTGTTGAGCTCCTAAGGTCTATTTTCCCAGTGTCCATTTCTGATGTAAGAGGGTATTTTCTTTGTGAATTGAACCGTTGTATGTGTTCTCTGCACAGATAGGGTGAGAGCACAGATAAAATAATTATCAGTGCATAACTTTTCTGTGGATATCACAGATATCACAGTACCATGGCTTTCCTGACTGCTTTTGACCAATGAAGGCTACCTTCACACAGGTGCAATTACTTAGGTAACCATAGCTCATTTAGCAAAAATATAAACAGTCCTATTTACCTATGCTTAGTAACCAACAACAAATTGAATTTTCTCCTTAGGACTGGATGTGGATTTCTCCCATAATTTTTAAAAGCAGAGAATGAATACCAATGAACACTTTAGACATATTCATTAGAACCCAATGAAAACGCCATGAAACGAAGGGGAGGGAATTTTAGTAATTTATTACGCTCCAATCTTTGTGAAGGCCTGAAAGAGGCAGGTTGGTGATCATTAGTCTTTCTAGGGGAATGAAGAGGAAAAAAATCAGAATGTCCATTTCTCCCTCGAAAATACAGTGATCCATCTTCTCCTGACTGCTTAGGTTGAAGTGTGATAGAGAACTGGGCACAAAAAATATATGCAGAATTTAGGAATCCAGCTAGTAGAAATTCCTGTGAGAAATCTCTTAGTAGAAATAGAAGCAGTTGAAAGAGAAATCCCTCTTCAAGCTTCTATGAAACATTTCTCTAGTACCATTGCATAGAGCATTCTCCCGGCTATCTTGGGAGAACCAGGCTGTAGCTCCTTATTCACATGTAAAACAATGACACCCCAACACCAAGCCTGACATGCTCATTAAGGAAATGCCCCACAGCTTCGCAGAGCAGGACCTTACTTGTTCTTACATTTCACACCCATTCTCTCTGATGCCTAAATCCTTTGCACGACTGCTGAATAACCCATTAAAAACAGAGTGCTGAGGAGACAGATTAGGTACTGCACGTGAAGACAAGAGTTTTCACTGTGGTCTCACCCGTCATGGACTTCGTCATGGGTGCTGGGCCATCCAGGGTGATGGCAGTATGAACAGCAGTTGTTGAATACCCAACATCCATCTTCAGCGCAATACTCTGATAATTTGGATAAAACAGCTTCCTACTTCTGATAAATGCACAGTCAGGTCTTCCAATCTGCAAATCGAGCCAGTTTACTTAAGCTTGGAAATAGACCTGGACGCAAATTTGTTAAGCACTAGACACGTGAAATGCCATGAAAATCAGCAGCTTTGTAAATAGAGGTAGTGTTCCCCTCATTTCAGATACCAACCAGCCTAATTCTGCAGCCTGGCCTGTAGTATCTTGCTGAAATGGCATCAGTGCTGCAGACTCGCAGGGGAAACCTTCAGCTCTCATAGTCTCTGTGATCTGCTTTAATATCTCCCCTGGGATTTGTCTAATTGTGTGCGTATATATGTATGTCATGTATACATACACACAGCCCTCCCACAGCAGGCTCCTTTCAGGCCTTGACAATTTCATTTACATATGCCTCTTAGAACAAAAGGGTACCGAGGGGAAGCCAGCTGAGACGGATTATTGAGGCTGCCCCAGCGGGGTGACCTGTCAGATTTTCAGAAATGGATGCATGGAAAGTAGTTCTTTGGCGCTGGGGTGTGTTTCTGTTCTGCGTGTCGGTCGTGTGTCGCATGGGATCACCGACTGTATTGCTCACTCAACATCTCATCCGGCCGTCTCCACCACGTGCCCCATCTCTGAGCATCAGCAGATGTTGACCTTTTACACACTGAGTCAGGAAATTCCAGTTTCGTTTTGCTTTGTTTTATTTCAAAATCAGTGGTGACCTGAAAGGATGCTTTGTGGTGCCTTTGGAAAATGTATCTACCTTTTTGATCAGGAGCCTAGGAAAATTTAATTCCTTAATACGGAACCAAAACCCGCTAGCAAACAAAATGATAGTTTGTAACCTGCCTTCCTTATGCCTCTGGCTGCTCTGCTTGGAGTGCAGTGGGGGTTCCCTCAGATTTCTCCAGCAAACAGGGTGTCAAAGGTGCCAGGAGTCACCCAACATCACACACAACTAGCTTGCCGATTGCTGGCTTTAAAGTCAAGAGATTGATTATAAAAGCCATCAAACAGGATAGGATCTTCTGGGCTTCTTCTGTGGCATTCGCACCTTCCTTCTTTGTGGGCTCATAAGGCGCTCATTGGGTGCACTAATAGATTCCTTTCCTCTCCAAAGGGCAAGAATTCACACAGAGATGACTTGCTGCCTACTCTAGAGGGCACAGGAATGGGTTTCCAAGGTATACGCCAGAGAAGAATGAGTTGCTTGAATTTTTAACTAAGTTTGGGAGGTTGCCAGGGCTTTTCCCTTTATCCCAGAGAAGGAATCAACCAGCATAATTCCAACCAGTATATAGACAATGCCATTATAACAGATGTAATACCCGTGAGACTCCCATCATCAAAGCATATCTCAAGGAAAGTGAATGATACATACCATTGATGTAAATTATTGATGTATGTAACCATAAGTTCACATACAAATATTATCTACACAATGACTAAAGATTTTGGAGCCGTGATAGGTTTCAGTATAGATCTCAAACTGTCAACACCAGTATTAAGGTTCAAATGCATGGACAGAGTGGCCATCCTTTCCGATCATCTGCTAAAAATATTTTTTGAAACAAATTTCCCATTAAGGTCATGTGTACCTGCTGTTGTCTATTTTTTTAGGAAATAGGTTTCCCAACCATTTCTGAGTTCCTTGATTTAAAACTAGGTCATTTTGACGTGCTTTGGCCATGGCTGAAAAAATACTGGTGGTATTGTCAGCAATTAATGAATCCCAGAATAGATCTACAGTCATTTGAGCCTTGTGATCTCTGGTTTTACTTTACCTAATGTGGCAGTAATTCATTCAGGTTTCATTTTTTTATGTATACAAAATGTAACTTATGCTTAGAAGTAAACATTCACAATTTTATCCAAGTGAACATTTGTTGATGCTGATGATACCGATTAATCGTTGGTTTGGTGTGGATGTTTTTGCTAGAGTGATAAACTAACCATTACCTTCTAGCATATATTATCTGCTCCTTAGTCCCGAAAAGCAAGTGATTTCGCTAATTATGTTAAACAGTATAAAGACCATAATTAGAATAAGAACTGGCCTAATGTGCAAATAGCTTTGTGTGGGTGATTATCACTTAAGAAAGGAGATGACAGATGAGTCAGAGATTAAAGGTAGGGCAGCCATTGACATGAAAGATCACCTCAGGAAACACCATTTCAAACAACTTGGCATTTTTTAATAAATAAAAATATGTCTCAGGATAGCCACAAAAGAGAAATGTAAACATTCTGGGGAACCAAGGATACATTATTTCTTTAAATTACTTTTGAGTGATTGAGCTTATGGCATATAAAGCATAGAATATTGATGGAGGAGTTGGTCCCCTCCTCTCTACCTCTTTCAATTAGAAATAATGGTTTACTTCAGGGAAATATTCCATTTTCCTGTTTTCTCTTATAATGAGCATTGCCTTCATCCTGGAGTTAAAACTTCATCTCTAATTTGATTTAATTGACAAGACTGTTAAACAAGGGAAGTGCTACCCGCAGGGATCCATCAGCCTGGAGAGAAAACCCAGAGATGTTTTCTTACTTTAAAATATTTGATGCCAGTTGGAGACCTTGTAAAAGTTGCTTTCCAGACAGCATCCAAATATTTTTGTTCGGTACCCGTTTACTGTAGAAACCTGGATCGTGAGGAAAATAACAAGGTTAATCATTTCCCTACCCAGGGGTAATTAATAATCATGTTCATGCTATCCAGAGACCTGCAGTGCTTGTTTGTTTTCTTCCCGTTGCTTTAATACTTCTAAATCCCCCAAATAAAAGTTTCATTTGAATTGCCCTTTAACTAATTAGGTTTTATATAATGAGGAAGAAAATGTACAGGGTAGTGTACCTATATGGCAAATTGCATGGTGTGCTACGTTAATTTTGAACTGTTTGCTGATGTTCTGGAAGGAAAGCTCAGGTCCCAGGTGAAGCGCCTTTGGGACTTTGTTATATCGTGTGCCCAGTATCCTCATCACAGATCCATTTCATATTTGTGTAACTAGCATTTCACATTCATGAAAACTTTGTGGTTATCCTAAAACTGAATGAACATTAGGACATAGCTGCTGCTTTAATCCTGAAGAATACATCAAATATTACAATGAAGGAGGGGCAAGTATCCTTTACCTAAAAAAAGAAAAAAGAAAAGGAGCAGTTTAATAATGCTATCAACCATTGCCCACCTTGAGCAATTTGATGTTTTTCATGCATTAACCTCTTCCCAGGTGAAGTTAGAATGTCAAGCCACTTTTTAAGTGTGAGCTGCTATCTGTACCTTTGCTGTTATCTCTGTGTGGGGCATCGGGACATTCCTAGCTTGACCAAAGATTTGCCAAGATCTCTGAAAGGGCCCCCAATGAACCTTCGAACATGTAGCCGTGAACTTCTGCACCAAGGGTGTAGGTATCGTTGACATCTTCTTGGAGGATAAATAAGGAGCTGGCCAACTAACTGCTTCACTTCCCGGGAAGGGTGAGACCGAGCTTTCACTCAGAACTGGAGGGAGATGTTCCCATATGTCTACAGAATTCCATTTTACAAATGGCGAGCGAGTCCGAGGCTCAGAGTGGCCAAGTAACTTGACCAGTATAATAGGACGAGGAAGACCTGTCTGACTCCAAAAGTTATGCTCATAACCTTATACCACATGGAAGAGGTTAGAAAGAAAAATTCTAGATTTATTTATTCTTGCTACAGACTCTTTCCAATCCACCACACAGCACCTTACACCTGTTGATTCCTGAACTGAACTATTTTTTGTGCAGGGAAATTTAGTGTCGTGGAGAAAAACAGAGGTTCATTTTCTTGT